GCGTTCCTCCGCGGACGAGTCCGTTCGAGAGCGGATGGCCAGGCTTAGCGCCCGGCGACGACAATCGCGACAGGCGACAGCGCCACGGACGGGGGAGGAGCCCCTGCAGAAGGCTCCCGCGGACAGTGCCATGGACGACGGAGAGGGCGGGGCGGCGGCAAACGTTGTCGCGACGGCCGGGAGGCGGCACTTGCTGCGCGGGCCCGGGTCATGGACGAGCGGCATCGGCAGCGGCAGCGGGCCCGGCGGGGTAAGGTCCCCTAGGCTCTCGCGGGCCGGCCACGGTGGAGGCGGCGGCGGGGGCGGCGGCGGCAGCAACAGCCTCGGCAGCCCGTCCTCCAGCTCCAACTTGGTGGTCACGCAGGAGGCTCTGGGAAATCTTAACAACAACCTGGCCTCGCTCATGTCCGTCAAGCGCCAGGCGTCCACCTCCGAGAACCGCGAGAGCCGGAAGCAGTCGATATCCCGCCGCCTGTCGCGGGGAGCGTCCCTTGGAACGTTCCGCGCGACGGCGGTGGCCACGGAGGCGGCGGAACTAGGAGCAGCGGAGGAGGCCGAAGCGGTGGCTCTAGGGGCGTCGCCGGCGGCGGCGAGAGCAGCCGCGGAAGCAGCCGCTGCGGAGACCATAGCGGCCCGACATCGAGCCCTCGAGATGAGGCGAGCCAGCCGGAGGAGCCGGGGCGGCGATGCCCCGGGGGGATCTGAGGGAGCGCTCAGGGAGTTCCAAGACGAAAGCGTCGTCGACCTTTCGCCCGCCGCTCGCGGGGGGGGCGGCGGCGGCGGCGGCCGGTTGGGAAGCATCCTCCCGGCGGACACCGTGCTGGAGAGCGAGGAGGAGTCGTACGCTACTCCCCGGGGGGGGAGGTGCAGCTCCGAGAGCGTCGCTTCGAGTAGCAGCGCCGGGGGCAGGTGGGGCCAGGGCGGGGAGTCGGCGGCGGCGGCGGCGGGTCAGGAGACATCTCGAGGGCATGGTGGGTCGGGTTTCTTCGGCCAGCAGGGGTCAGATCCGTACAGGAGGAAGGGGCGGTACTCTACCATTTCGACCCCGGTAAGCTTGGCTTGTGTAAGGGGTCGCGGAGCAGCAGTCGATGCTGCATTATTGCTCGATCGACGCTTGCTTGTTTCGAGTCGCGCAAATTTGTTGCCGACACCCTCTGGCGCACGTCTTGTGATCCTGGCGCCCCATGTCCTTGACGTCGCTTTTGTCTTATTGTTGGCATCTACCGCACTAACCGGCTGACCTTAGGAACCACGTCAATCTCGGTGCCGCGAAAAGTACGGAAAGCTCTTCGGGGACCTCGTGTCAACGTGGAAGCTAGACTTCTGTCCGGATGTCCGGGTGCGGTTGTTTCTTTGTTATTAGCATCGACCGCGCTACGTATCCAACTGACCCATGTTTTTTTTTTGTTTTTTCGTGCGCGTTATGTGTAATGACAGAACGCCACCCCGGCAGACACTCCAGTCGACTCGCCGCGGTCCGGAAGCGACTCAGACGCCGCGTACGACAGCCTGCGGGGGGTCCTGGGCAAAGTATCCCTCAGCAAATACTTCAAGGAGTTCCGACGTCGAGAGGTCCGGTTGGAGGACCTGCAGCATCTCACCGAGGGGGACTTGACAGAGGTGAGTGGGGGTGAACGACGCGCACTCAAATTGCCGTTTTTAGAGACACTGGGGAAAGAGCATCCGGCACTGTGAGGATGCTGTTCAAGTTGTGACTATGCTTGCTCAGCGATGGTCTACGGCGCGTTAGCGCATGTGTGCGTGAAGCAGCCTTGTCGCACACCGCTGTGCACGCCGAGTGAAAGAATGCTCAACGAGAGAGGATCACGTCTGTTTGTGCTCGACCCCTCCTCAACTCCGCGCTGCTGTCTTGGAGTTGGTTAGTCTTTGCAGCACCAAGTTATCGCCGAACTTGCTCTCGCTCGCTGCCGGTCCCCGAAAGTGCCACGTTATTTTTGTCACTCTTTTGACATCTTCCGCCCCCACACCCCGTCCCGCTACAACCTTGTCGACGAACAGATGGGGATGCCGGTCGGTCCCCGAAAGCGCCTCCTGGTGGAGGTCCACGGCATCACCACCCCGGTACGAACACCGGTGGCCGCTACTCCAATGCCACCCCCGCCACCTTACCACGTCGCGGCCGCCGTCGTTCCGCCCGCAGTGTCGCCGTCATCGCCACCGCCGCCGCCGCCGCCTCAGGCGCAGCAGCAGGAGCCGCCGCTAAAGGCCGCCGTCCGTTCCCCGCGGCAATCGTACCCGGGGGGGGCCAGGACTCCGATGTTTTCACCCCCCAAGAGGGCGGGAAGCTTGGGGGGGGGTGCAGCGGCGTCTGCGGCGGCGTCGGCGGCGGCGGCGGCGGGACCCCCCGCAGCGGAGGTGACTTTCCGGCGAACCGGCCCATCAGCGCCCTCGGCGGCTTCGCTACGCGCTAGGTTAATGGGACAGGAGAATCAGAAGTCGTTGCCCGGGAGGAAGTCGGTGTCCTCCCGTCCTTCTCTGGGGTCCACGCGAGCACGGGCTTCCAGCGAGGGCATGGCCGCCGCCGCTGCGGTTAGCGGCACTGACGAGAATGGGGTCGAACGAGACGGGGCCGATCACCAGGCCGCTCCTCCCCTGCGCGAAAAGGCCGTATCCCCGCGAAGAGGGTCGTCCTTCGCCCCTTCCGCCGGCGGCGGAGATCGACTAGAGGACCACCGCGCCACTATCGGCGGGAGCGGCCTGGCCGCGAGGCGCGCCAAGGCGGCTGCCGCGGCCGCGGCGGCCGTGAGGTCGGCCGCGACGGCCGTCGAGGAGGCGACCGGCGGCCCGAGCCGGCTGCCGCGGACCGGGATCCCGCGGAAGTCGGCGGTTGCCGGGGTGGCACCCGTACCGTCGTCGCGCTTGGCTGCGGCGGCGGCGGCGGCGGTGGCGCCGCCGTCCTCGAGGTTCGGCGGCCGGAGCTCGTCGACCGGTGGTGGCGGCGGCAGGGGGGCTTCTGCCGGCGCGGCGGCGGCGGCGGCGGCAGCGGCGGTGCAGGGGGCGGTGGAGTTTGACGCCGTGGAGGAAGACGGCGGGGCCGGGCCGGCGGAATCTGTGGTCGGGTCGACCAGGCGGGGGGAAGCGGCAGTTGGAGGAGGCAGGAGAACCTTTATCCCCCGCCCGTCACCGAAGGCGGGAAGGAGCATGATCCCTCGCCGCAGCGGACGCGCTTGATGTGTGGAAGATGACGTCGCATTCGCCGTGTGGAGTAACTTTGAAGAAGTTCGGTTTGTTGTGTAAAGAACGGTTAATTCGACGGAGGTGGGGGAGAAAGAGAGAGAGAGAGAGAGAGAGAGAGAGAGAGAGAGAGAGAGAGAGAGAG